GCCGACGGCATCGAACTAGAAAAAGGAGTTTGTTGCTTTGCATCCTCGTTTCTCTACTCGAATTACAATGTACACAAGAGTGCGCACAAGTCACTTCCATTACGGCTACTGAGAAAGTTTGTCATCTTTCCAACGGCTCTGAGACGTGTACTTACGATGAAGCAACAGTCCTGACCCTTCAACCTTTGCTACAGGAAACATGCCTTGCGATCAGAGATCATCACGGCGTTATACTTGCTACTCTATCCATCAAAATTGATGGAATACGCTTCAAATGTCACCGAAAACTTGAATTCTTCACCAGAGATCATCAGTTAAAATCGGAGTCGATACACAGATGTTACCTGGCCGGAAGTTGCCAAGAAAATACATGCGATAACATCTCACTAAAGGACAAACTCGAGGAAATTTCAAGGATAGCCAATGAACACCCAGGATATACATATTGCTCATCCAGTTGTGGATGCCTCACTTGTGAAGGCTGCTTTATGTGCCAGCCCAGTTGCCTATTCTACAGAATCTACGCCGTCCCTACCAGTGAAACGATCTACCGCATATTTACTTGCCCCAGTTGGGAGGTAGGCGTGAACGCTGCTGTAACACTTCAACAAAACGGTTTCGACGCCTCCTCTACAGTCCTAAGATTATACCCAGGACAAACAAGCCTTTGGAATCATCTGAGATTCACTCTCACAACTGCCATTAGTCCACAGCTACCAATACTCTCATCGGCGTTCATTTCAACAGGAAAGGAAACCTCCATCATTGAACCAGCACACAGAGGGCAGCTGACTCCAAAGAGCGCTGGCCAACTTCAATGTGCCTCCCAAAACCACGCAAAGGACTTCAATTGCACCTTTAGTAGTAGAGCATGCACATGCACTGATGGATTACAGAAGGTGTCATGTATATGCAGCACAGGAAACGTCCATAATCTCATGAAAAGTGCTCCGTTACCTTAAGTCTCTAAAGCCTATGCGATTTTCAGTCAAAGAGGCGAAATATACGCTAAAACAAGGGTTGGATCAGCACTACAAATTCAAGTCGTTGCCGAAAACATGAAAATTACTGCTCGACAAACGCATACCTCCTGCGAAGTAGAAGTAAGCGACCTTGTAGGGTGCTACAGCTGCATCAGCGGTGCTGAGCTTCGTTTATCATGCAGGAGCATGGAAGGTGACACGCTAGCTTATGTCTTGTGCCCGAACGAAAATCAAGTAGCAAAGTGCACAAAGAATGGTTTTCTAAACAAACTGAGATTTCATTTCAACACTTCATCTGTTTCTGTGGACTGTGAATTCAGTTGCCCCAAAGGGAAAAGTTCTATAAAAATTTATGGACGCCTACACTACATCAATGACGACACAACTGAGGACGACTCGCTAGCCGACAATCAACCTGGCAATCCCAAAGGCAACACTTACTGGGACACATTGAATAATCAATTTGGAAGTCTCCTTTTGTATGTTCCTAAAATCATTGTACGAAATTTGAAAACGATTACTTTCCCTATTGTACTCGTCCTCCTCCTCTTATGCACCTTCTTACTATATTACAAGAAGTTTCTTCTTCCTTCGTATCATCACAAACATTCTTGACTGTGCATCTCCCTCGTGGGGAGTTTCTGTAAAGCTACAGAAAATCAGGCCGGCATCCTCGGCACTAACGATTCATTTGCATTCCTCAGCATCCTCGACCATTAACGATCCATTTGTGTTCCTCGGCATCTTCAGCCATTTAGTCACTAACGATCCATCTGTATTCCTCGGCATCCTCGACCATTAACGATCCATTTGTGTTCTTCGGCATCCTCGGCCACTAACGATTCATTTGTATTCCTCGGCAGCGAATATGCATGGTATATAAGTCGAGGGAGAATTCAGTTTTTTGCTGATCGCTCTATGCAATAAACGTTTCGTCCTTCTCTTCGCCTATTCAGCTCAGGGGGGGCGCCCCCTCCCCCGAGAATGGGTCACGAAATTTTTGAAAGTTACTTACATGATTTATAAAAATGTGCAAGAGACTTATTTATACTTGTAAGTAAATTAAAATAACTTTTGAAAACCTTAAAAAATTTAATTTAGCCTTTTTTGTCGTCCCCCCCCCCCCCCGAGCCGAAATTCTGGGTACGCCACTGTCAGCTAGGATTAGGATAGATAATGAGATGATAAAGGCTTGCTCGCTGATAGTGAGTCGTATCGCGGTTGTCGAAGCCGGAGAAGTCGGAAAAAGAAAGAAGGCAACATGTAGGCTATAATCAATATGTTAATACATAGAGCTGCAACGGCAAGAAACCGGAAGTCCAGATTTAGCAGAAAATTTCAAGACAGAACATAATGTCAGGATGGCAGTGCTTTTTTTAGCAAGGTAATGCACTAGAACAATAATGGAATAAGCGTTGAGGTTCAAAGTCCTTAGTAGAGGGAAAACTATATACGCAGGCACAAGTCAAGAAGTTGTGACAAAAATCACACTACTATTTCCTGCTGCTTATGTGCATGAGACCGCATCATCAAGCCACAGCTGCGCGCGACATCCTATTGATAGCTAAAAAACATGAAGAATCCACATCTGATGCTAACATCTGCAAAATTTCTCCGATAGCAAAGAAGTGTGAGCTACTAAATCCATCTAAGCTGTACAGCTGACAAAGTATTACTGAATCGTACGAACAGATGCAAATAATCTGCGCAATTTAGAAAATCAATAAGAAAAATAATACAAATTGCGAAGTTCGTATAACCGGCGTATTTCTGTCTGGTCTTGCCAGTAGGTCAAAGAGGCGCATATTGCGACAAGGCTCGAATCACCCACCAAAATCTGTGGTACTCATCTTATACGGGCTTTGTAAGAAACAAAATCAATCTTTCAAATTCTAATCTCGGAAACGGAAGTTAAGAGTAATTCCGCTGTGCCGCATTAATCTGAAATAGCAAGTTAGGCAAAGCGAACATCAAAGACAGTAGTAGGACTGATGGAAAATACAAGATTGAGACATGCGACCTATACGTTGCCTCACTGACGTGTTGCTTGAAGCTTACTTCATGAAGAAATTAAGAGAGGAAAGGTGTTCTTCAAAGGTAGAAATTTACTCCCAGTTTGTAAACTGAAGTCAATCAATACAAATTATATATTCATGCTGATTGTAGGCTCATCAAATACATTATAGCACTAGTAAAATAGTTAACTTCAACACCTACGTTATGCTTTAACGAATTCAAACGATTAGCACCCATTATCGGGTAATTTACCCTTCTTTCTCGTAGTTGTTGAGTTTTCTCAGTCCATTTCATGCTTGCGCTCGTATTTCGTCGTGCTTTTCCGTAGGAATTCGAAAGGTTGACGAAATGGCTAGTTTTTCAATCCATTGGCCGTACCCATCAACAAACCCAATGGGTTCCGAAACCAAAGTAAGCGAAAACAGTGCGCGGGATAGGATCGATATTCACAAAAAGCAGTGCTGGGTTCGCGAACCCACTAGCTTCGTGAATACCGATCTCGTGGTTAAGTCTACCCACTGGGTTCGTTGATAATTACGGCCACAGTAGTAACTGGCTTACTTGAACAAAGCGCTGATGTGAGTCTGCTCGACCAGAAAATCTCCTAACATGGGAGTGGTCAAAGTGGCCAATCCAGACGTGCTGCACACCTTAGATGCAGCATAAAACACTGACTTCGGATCTGTATTCCATATCTGCTTAGTGCCTATGTGAGCGGAGTTATGAGCCGTGAAAGGCCGTCATTTTGCTGAGAAATCGTGCATGCAGAGCGAGTACAGAGCCATGTTCAGCTCAATGCTAGGCCAAAACATGCAGCAGTTACCTCATCTTCTCAAAGTTTAAAAATGAGCTGGAATTGCAACAATGTGCTTTCCGCAATTTTTATGTATGATTTTTCTACAGTAATGTGCTCATAACTTTGTCCACAAAAGCGCTAAGCAGATATGGTATATCAGAATCCATGTTCGACTATCCATAAATCTTGGCATAGTTTAAATCTTCTGATTAATTCAACTAATCAGAAGATATGGTATACAGATTCGAAAACAGCTTGAATGCTGCATCGAATGTTAGGCAGCTTGCTTGGATTGGCCACTACTTCTGACCATTCCCTTGTTGGCATACAGACGACATCTGCAGGTAGGGTATACCTCCACCTTTTTTGCTGCTAAGCTCGACCTGAGATGGACCTAATCTGTGAAATTCCTGCACTCCACTTGTCACCATTCTTCTGATGTTTCTTTTCGGCCTTCCAGCGTTTCCAACAATCTCGCCGATATTCTTTCAGAAAGTGCGTATGGCATTTGGTTGCCATATGCACTTTCTGAATTGTGGGATCATGGTTGTCCGCATCGATTTTACCAAGTCCTGCACAAACATCGAGCTCTAGGTATCTCTCTGCGATACTGTCACTACTGATTTCTCCTTCTTGTGGCCCTGCGATCGCATTTACGATTTTTATTCTCTTAACTCTGCTCAATCATTCGTTGAAAAGCAAACCTGACGATGTGAACCCTGCAGCATCCCCGCTTGATTCTCATTTCCCTGGCTACATTTTGGCATAGGCCTGCCTTATGTATTCCTTTTAATGGTCTGCAATAAATGTTAAAAAGAAACTAGAGAGAATTGGGTTAACAGAACAAAAAATACGACAAAAAAATAAAATACATCTAATTGTAAATGAAACGACGAAATACGCACGGTATTTTCGGAGCGAGTGAAGGCCACCCTATCGTTAAAGTATAGGCGATTCGTCGCACGCAGAGACAAGCGCTACTGCGGACGATGTCTGCTCTTTTGAATCAGACGCACTTCTATTCTCTAACTGTCTGCTGTCCTCTCCCTAACACATACTTCCTTGATCGCACCGCTGCGGCGCACAGTCTTTACGCGCGAGAATTGCTTATAACTTTCAGGTTTTGTATGATGACGTTGAAGTTTTTACCTGACTAGTGCTTGGTGTTTGCCATTCTGCGTAAATCATAAATCATTCATGTTCAGGAAATCGCCGCAGCGATGAATGCGGAGGATGACAGCATTATCGGACAACTCGGCCTCACTGAGCAAGTGGAGCGTGCGAAAACTCTTGCAACTGGAGCACTCGAGACCGTTAAAGGATTTCTGCCATTTGGCAAATAATTTTATATGATTCTCTCAGTCTACGGCGATCCATTTTCGCATTCACTCCACTCTGACCACTAATTTTGGCTTTGCCTCAAGCTTTTTGTAATTTCAAGATGTTTTAAGTAAGTACTCTACTTTGTAATTGAGAATCCAGGCTAAAATTGAGAATTTCCAGGTTTGTAGAGCAGTTAAATGCAAATCATTTGGAAGCAAACATCGCTTTTTGTTTTATTTACATTACCAATAGTACATCCCCTCGCTCCGTGTTTTTCTACTCTTTGTATGTGCCAAATATTCAGCAAACAATAATTATTGATTTTTGAGTACTCACATCTGTTTCCAATCAGCTCTCTTCCTTATATTCGATCTCCTTCTGTCCCTTTCTGTCCGGTCAATAATTCTCTTTCGTTTTTCCTTGCAATACAGAGTAGGCTCGTCATTTGTGACCATAGACCGCGTGATGTTCTCGTTAGCGTTGTGATTTTTTGTATTGAGATATGTATTTGGTAAATAAATATAGTTTTAGTGGCTTGTGGTGATGACCGGCGAATCCGGTAAAACGCCACCGGTAAAAGCGGATGCAACAACGGCACAAGTCGATGAGAAAGCCAAATTTGCCGTACCGGATTGGGCAACCCGACCACCGGCAGGGTCACACCTTGATGTCTGTAAAGGAGATCAGCTGATTCAGGTTGGTTTTCCTTAATCTGATTTTGTAATTTCGTTTATATTTTTTTGTTTTTAGAAGCTGATGATCGACGAGAAACCGGCTTATTATTTTGGCCGTAACCCTAAACAAGTTGATTTTGCTGTTGAGCATGCCTCATGTTCACGGGTCCATGCACTTTTGATGTATCATGGCGTCTTGAAACGATTTGCTTTGGTGGATATGGAAAGTAGTAAGTTTCCAACTCATGTTTTGCATCGAACTAGGTTTTTCAAGATATCGAGTTTAGGTCATGGTACATTCCTTGGGAACGTGCGATTAGAACCATTGAAAGTTGTGTTTGTTGACATCGGAATACCTTTTCATTTTGGAGCATCTACGAGAAGGTGAGTTTGGACGGACTTGTGCGAGAAACGGTATAACGGTAATGATTTTTTTACCTGCAACTTTTTCAAGTGATCAGTTTCGCGGTTAAATTTTTGAGAAGAAGATAAATCGATTGATGAACTGATTTATGTCTAGACTATTTGTAACAGTGGTCTACTAATTCTCGTTTTGTCTAGTTATCCATATTATAGGAATGAAATACTTCGAGAATATGAACAGTTTTTTTTCACTATAGCTGAAAATTGAAGAGTTACCATTTGCAACATTTTGGACATGTTAAGCAAACTTGTCTCGCAGAAAAGCATGGTAAACCTGTAAATGAACGTCATTATGATTGATCAATATCGCCAAGTAGTTCTTTCTGAAAGATTACTAGCAAGGTGCGTGCTGAAACAAATCGAGTTAAATCTGATTTTTTTATAGTTATATCTTTCTTCTTAACCGCAACTAATGTGGAAATGAATGAATTTCACAGCTTCAGCTTTGATTTCTTATTGTGTGGCCTCAAAAACATATTTTATTCTCCAGATATACGCTTCGATTGAGAATTGTGCAATCAAAGGAAAACGAAGACGAAGAGAAAGAGAAGATGCCCAGCGAACAGGAGTTGGAGGTGAGCGGGATTTTGAAATTTGGCCTATACTCTTTTCATGTTCTCGATACATGCTCGCCAAAATTTAATTCTGTCATTTTGTTGCGTTTCAGAATGTAACCGAATACAACACGGCTTTGAATCGGCGAATACCCCAGCTTCCAATTTCCGCCGAAGAGGCACGCCGTAAAAAACGTCCTCGCGGCAATGTTGCCTTTATCGAACAAGAGGAGATTATTAATCCAGGTTCGTTGTTCGATATTTTTTGTTTTTTTTTTTGTTTTTCCTTCTGTAGCAAGAGTTCTTTCCCGATATGGGTGAGTCAGGTTCGTTGTTCGATATTTTTTCTGTTTTTCCTTCTGTAGCAAGAGTTCTGTCCCGATATGGGTGAGCGCGTTTTTCACGAGTTGATGCTCATCTGCGTTGAACCTCGATGAAATAGATATCCAATAGAAGTAGATATGTTTTTGGCTGTTAGCTAAAAAAACGGAGGCTCATCTTTTTTTTCAGTAATAGCCAAACTGTCAGTCTAGAAGCTTGCGTGCTTTTATTGACTTTTATGCTCATTTTCCGTTGCCGTGGAAGCTGCGAACCCAAAAATTACCTTCATTACCCACCTTCATCGAATCCCACATTCTAATTATCTTGATATTTTTGAAGCACTGAGACCAATTCGTATGACTTATTCCGGTTTAATCTCTTTGTTTAGAGGATGTTGATCCCAGTATTGGGCGTTTCCGAAATCTCGTAGCTACTGCCATCATTTCCAACAATCCAAATAAGAGAACAGCACCTGCCACCAAAGGTCAAGAACCTCCGCGAAAGGTAAGCATCGTAATTTCAAGTTCCATTCTCTTCATGGTTTTTACTTCTACAAGTATTCAATAGATATTTTGCTTCCTTTTTATCTCTGCGGAAGTAATGATTTGTTTTTTTGTTGATAGCGACGGTACTTTTCACTGATGTTTTTTCAGATCGTGCGACCGTTTCGTGACGTTTCGTTGGCATCACCAATGTGTTCGACATTGGGCGGTATGTCCTTGAATGCAGCTCCTGATCTAGAGTTGTACAGTAAGACATTACCTGAACCAGGACAACATAATTGTGAGTCAGCTACTGTCAGTAATCTTTTGCACTTGTCGTCTTGCATTGGCAAGCGAAGATTGTTCCTGTGGTCACATTGATTATGCACCTCACTTTGTGACTTGCAGCCCCGAAATTTTTTAAAATGAAGTTCTGTATGTAAATCCCCTGATTCAGTGCATCCACATATGATCCCAATGGACAGCGATGAACCGCATAAGAAGAAATACGCGAAGGAATCCTGGCCTGGACGAAAGCCAACATCGGGTGTTTTGTAGCTTAACTTATCAAAGCAGTGAGATAGTGTTGTACAGTAGTTGGTTTTAACCTCCATGATCAATCTCATGTATTATTTTTCAAGGCCAAACATGGATCAACAGTTTTTTTTCAAATGTCAGTGTCAAACATAGACGTGGATATTGTTGATGGCATAACTTATTTGTTAATTGCTTTTCCTCGCTCAAACCGATATCGATCCGTTCGTTGCATACCTGTTGATTTTACTGTTTGCTGTTTATTTTCCTCACAACTATGAGTGCAAACACAGCGCCTTAAAATGTGACTTTTTTGTAATTCGTTACTCGTAAGGAATGTGTGTCATCTGTGGCGTTATCAGAACTTGTTCCCAGCATGTACCCAAATTATCAGTCGATAAAGTTCCAAGATGTTCTCGTATTTGTTACTGTTGTCGTTGCGGTGTTGCCTACGCTTTATGTCATGGGGACTGTGGTGAAGGTATTACACTAAATTTTCTTGTTAAAGATGGAAGAGGATGAAGATTCGAATGAGATAACACCTGATCAGGCACTTGAGTTTCTCAGAGGTAAGCCCACAAAAAATATGCTGAGCAGAAACTAGACGTTCACGTATGCCTGTGACTCAGATAATGTTGTATCTCCTCTTAGAGGCTGGGAATCCGAGAAAATAGTTCTTTAAGTCTCTTTTCCGCCAAAATAAGGTTATTACCTTCATGAAGGTTCGCACTGAAAATTCATTCTTTCGTGTCGCGAGTGCAACCGTGCAGTGGGCGAATGATCAAGAAACCAGATCCACAAACTACTGCGAGCCTCTTTAATGTTCAGTTCTGTCATAGTTGTTGAAAAATGAGTTACTTGTCTACAAGACATCTTTTCCGTCCAATTCTTGCATATCTTTAAAGTCTGTGCACGTTCCTCCTTCATCTTTAGGGAGATGTTCTGCACCTGGATCAGTCTTAATAAGGGAAAAACGTGTTAACTAACTAAGTTTTGATCAAAATGGCTCCTAAGGATAATATCGAGCGATTTGGAGCCTGTATCGCCCAAGAGTACTGTTAACTCGTCTATATAGCTTTCGAAGGAATGTAAATGGGTTTGTCCATATTCAGAATTTGATCATAAGAAGCGATTGAGGCGCGAGAAATTACTACACTGAGCTGTCTATACGCAGCCATTCCGTCATTCCAGTGCCGGAAGCAATTATGGAACCAAGAATTGCGGAAGCTATACGAATATATCTGGAAGAAGGTAGCGGAAGTAGTGAAACTGCAATTGAAGCAATGGTTATGGGATATAATGCATATGCTCAGGTTCAGAGCGATCCTAACGGTTTGCTGGATCATCGAAATAGTTTTTAAGGCTGTGAACATGATGTCCGATTGGCTTACTGCATTGGGTGATGTGCCGCCAGAAGAACCTGTGCAGGTTGCTCAGCCGAAGAAAACGAAGAGAGGTCGACGAGGGGCGAAAACAGCAGCAAAGAAGGCAGAAGAAGAAGAGGCTAGGCGTAAAGAGGAGGAGAAAGCAAAAGAGCCGGACACACCTAAAAGTCCGACGAAAAAGCATGAAACAGAAAAGAGGTTGGATCCGTTCTATGGGAGAATGGGTGGGTTATTCGATTTTTATCTTATGAATCTGATGTTAAACTACTAAATCGCTTTGCAATTCCAGAAGCAGTGAAAAGCGTCGAAAACACTCTAGCAGCACTTATAGCCAAGCATTTTTCTCCCGATATCGCCGATACCATTTTTGAAGATGGAGGAGTGATCGAATGGTTGCCAGAATTGATAAATCACAAGTATGTTGAGCTTATACATGCTAAGTTTTCCTTGCAGATGAGACCTCAGCCTTGTAGAAACTTTTTTGAACTCTATTTGCAGGCGATGGCGAACTTTGTTATATGAATTGATGGACCAATATCCGAATTGTCTTATGCTCAATTTTGCGGTGAAACTTATCTCTGACGCTGGATTCCAAACAGAAATCAGCACAGTTAGCTCCGCAGCACAACAGGTAATCCAAAATTGAATAAACACTATTCAATAGTATATTTGTTCAGCTTGACATATTTTCGCGGTGCTAATTTTGATTTTTGAAGCCTTATTTTTAGCTCGATATATTTTCGAGAGTGCTTTTGACTTCAATAGATGCGGTTTTGGTGGAACATCGTAAAGGATGTTTGACAGCTGCCTATGAAAAGGCTTTTGGAGAACTAGTGAGTGGAACTGGTTTTTTGGTGTTAGGCTACCTAAGGGCTCTCAAAAAAATTTGTTCTAGGTTCGAGTTGTATGCCAAGCAGAGCATACTTATGTCTACACAATAGCTTTGCTCAAAGTGTGTGGTAGATTCGTTATATTTTCAAAATGGCTTTTTCTTGATTGAAAGATTGTTATCGTAATGCTCTCCCCTCCAGGCGGTAGGAACATCTGAAGGAGGACGAATTCTAGCAGCTTGCGAGCAAATGGCTGACGCACTTCGAGCTGAGATGGAGGGTCGCGAGCACGAAACCACCGCCCTTCGAACCGCACTAGCTCAAACTGCTGATGATCAGGTGAACAGGTGCTAATTCTGATTTATTGTGGTTATTTGGTTTGTTTTTACAGGTGGCTTCACATTTTACTCAAGCGCTGCTGAACATGGTTAGCCGAGGTGAACTTAACCCTGCTGATGTGACGATCATCTATGATGTGAGTAATAATGGCTCATGTTGTGTGAAATGCTTTTTATGACTGTAAAGGCACCTTTTCGTGTGTTTCACGCATTTATTGCAGCTTGCATGATCTTATCTGCTTTAAATGTTTCACAAACCTTTCTGCACCGTCACCTATCATTCAGTAATTTACTTCACTACGCAAACAGCATTCACGATTCACTTTTGATTCAGCAGTATATCCTTCCACTGCCTCCTCCAATATCCATCATTCGAGATCCGATATTCATAGATTTACTGCTGGATTCTTTATTTCACTATCAAGGACCAAAGGTAACGTGGATTTCCAATTACCGCAAATTGACATAGTAAAGCTTCTATCTGGCTATTAAGACCATCCCGGAACATCGATTCAAGTACATCTTTCTTCTGGCGTGTGCCGCATCTGTGTCAGAGACAAGAAGCAGCAATGGAAGAAGAACGGTAAGCTGTAAAAATATCAAAAATTTGAGGCTTTTTCAGTTTTGGCAGTGAGAATCTGTAATATGTTGCAGGGAGAAAGAAGATTGTTGAAATTTCAGTTTATCTTTGCTATTCAAATCATTTTTTTTGTTATCTATCTGTTCAAATTTCAAAACTTGTTTTTTAACTCTAGTGTTCACTGAATCTATGCCAAATAAGCGCAGTTCTGCGCATGTATCAGCAGCACAAACGTCGATTCTTGATTTTTTTTATTTTTGAATTTTTTTCAATTTTTAGCAATCCCGACTAGAGCTCGATAATTGTCGACAATGTCTGGATGATGCAGTAAGCTTGTTAGAAGGCATGGATGATCTCTTGGCTGAGCTGAATGACCTACTTCATGCTATAAAAATGCCTGTAGTGGCTGCAGGTGTACTGTATTATGTGCAGACGTTGCTGCTGTCTGAGGAGCGAACTGGTGGGTAGATCGATTATTACTGAGAATTTGCACCAATTCTGTCTTTCAGGTGATCCGCCAGGTGCTGCATTGTGTCTCTTAGACCATATCTCTACACTGCACCCAAATCTGCATGCAAAAGCCTTTGATGTTTGCTGTCAACTCTATGAAAAGATTGCTGGAGAAAACGAAGCTGCTGAGGTGAGGGTCGTTTTCCTCTTATCCATGGCATTTTCATGCAATAAAATATTGTCGTCCTTCTTTCCACTAATATCTTGTATTCAGTAGTGTTATTCTTTTCTCCAATACAGGTGATAATGGAACGGCAGCGATTGGTTGTTGATCGGTTCGTTCATCTACTGTCGGTAGGAGGTGCAATACCAGTTTTGGAAAAGGTTTGGGAAATGTTTCGTGATGGGCAAATTGATGCCTCTTTAGTGCGTTATTTTGCAATGGAGGTAGGTTTCCGCCACAGTTAGTGCAATAGATACTTAAGTAGGACGAGCTTGCAGGTTCTTGAAATCATTGCACCACCATTTTCTGATGATCTCGTGAATTTATTCCTTCCAATGGTCAGTGATGAGGAAATTTTCGATAAAGCTGCACAGGTGGGGAACTATAGTATTTGTAGAACTGCTACCACAAAATAAGTTGCAGGAACGTTTTCCTCCAGCAGGCGAATTCATTCAACATTGTCAGCAGCAGCTTCCTTCATCATCAGCACTTGCATAGGCTGGACCGCTGTGTCCTCCAAAGCATTTAACTTTCCCATTCCTCAAGAGCTGGAGCTCTTACATTTAGCATTGATAAGATCGATGCTATGATCTCATTGACAACTCGGTTGTATGTGCCTAATTATACGTCACTCACTTCCTACAGTGATCCAAAACTTCATCCTACCGTGTCTTGCATCGTCATTTCATCATTTCGTCATTTACTGTTGAGTACATTTTTTCAGAATAAAACTTTAAGTCCTTGATAGCGCAGCGTTGTTCATTGTGATATCTGACATCATCACCGGAATGCTGTGAATCACATATCCTTTGATTCAATTGGCTTGGCGGCTGGAAGGCGGGGCTTCTTGACTTATTTAAGGCTAGACGATAATCAAAGAGCACGCGCGAGGGAGCGACATAGACTGGCGGGCGCGAGAGGCCTCAATTAGGTCACAAAGCCCCGCCTTCCAGCTGCCAAGCCAGTTGAAAAAGGTTACTAGCGTTCCCAATAGGGTCAGAGGTGCATTTCTGCATCAACTTCCAGTTTTAGCTTACCTCTAAATGGAATGAAATGTAAGCTCCTGCTTCCATGAGTAAACTGAAGCCATGTTTGGTGATGTTTGGTGATATAGTTCGGAGAGTCAAAAACCTGTCAGGTGCCGAGTAACCGGATTTATTTGCAAAGATTATTAAATCGGCCATCCGGAGCAGTTCAGTAATTCAAAATCCGTAGATTCCATAATGTCTCTCATACTCGGAATTTGAATAGTCTAGAATTTTCATTCTTGAATGTTAGTCGAGAGAAAATTGAGTAATCGATGGTCACTAGCCCGACTTTCGGTGGCCCTCTGATATTCACAGCGGGTTCAAAATGAATCATTACCCTTTCAAAAGTCTAATAATATTCGAAATTCGAAAGTCGAAGCTCACATTAGAATAAATGATATTGGAAGTCGAGTATGTAAAAAGAATTTTTTTTTGAATTTCCAAGTACTGGGGCACGTTGTAACAGCTGTGAGGCGAATGCACGACTTGCGAGCTGAGCTGTTTGTATGCTCGATCTTGGGACTTAGAGGAATTCGTAATTTTCCAAATATATCGATTTTCAAATAGCAGAAAAATTGGTTTTATTACAGGAAATGTATATTTCGAATATTTGATCGAATAAAATTCGATAAAATCTGGAGTTTGTGCTATTTTCGAATGAGTAGCCAATCAAATTATTCAAACATAAGTCATCTGAAAATAATAATGAGCGTATTTTGAATGACAAGTAATGTGCCTGGATCTTCATAGTCCATGCTCACGATTACCATTTCACTCCTTCCTCCAACATGGTTTGCCAATGGGTGTGGAAGTGCAATTTGCGCCGAGTGTACGCTCTGGTAGAGTCTTTCAAGCTGTGTAGGAGTTCGACGTTTCCGGCCATTGATCCCGCCATACCTAATCAAGGCGGACCAGGTCAGACCCTCGTTTTGCTGTAGTTAAATGCTGCTGGGTCCACTACAAACCTTACAAGGGAAGCTTGTTTGGTCGAAGTGGCCTTTCTAGATGAGATGTATACCATATTAGAGGGCATAAAACGCTGATTCCAAATCTGCCTTCCCTATCCGCAGAGCGTTTATGCTCGAGAAGTTATGAGCGTTTTTGAAGCTATAAATTGAACGTACATTTTGGATAAAATGAGCTGCTAGAATCCTACTAGCCTTCAAATAAATGCAACCAAGTGCGATATATCTTTTATTTGAGAGTATTTTTTGAATAAAGTGCTCTGATGTTTATCACTGCTCCATTTAAGAGCTAGAAAAAGTATTACGGCTATTTCTATCCTACTTGCTCATTCAATTTTTTGCCCCAATAAGCGCTCATAACTCCTCGCCCATAAATGCTCTGCAGATAAGGAAGGCAGATTTGGAATCAGCAATTTGTGCCCTTCAATAAAGTACATATACGTCCCATCTAAAAAGGCCACTCCGACTAAACATGCATTCGTTGTTAGAGTCGCCGATCGCCCCTGGGATGAAAAAACACGACATAGCAGGTCTGATGTTGTCAAAGAAAAGCCTCGTTACTCGACCAGCATGTTTTAAAGCACTGCACATCGGATTTACCTAAGCCGAAGGGTAGTATCAATACAAGGTTAAGTCCGACAATAATGAGACGTTCTGAAATTACCATGGGACTCTATTGGGATGCATCTACGACGCCAGGACAGTTTTACCACATAGTCTCGCGCTCTTCTCAACACTGGGAGCATATCAGTAGCACATCAAGTGATATAATCTTATCATTCGTGGTTAGGAGTTTCCAGGAAACGTTTAGGCAGAAACCACCAGCGTCATCCTGCTATTCCTCAACACCAGCAACTGATGAATCACTACTGGGTACTTTTGATGAATGTAAAAATTTGCAATGAGAAGTTTCAACACTGTGTGAGCGAGTTTGACGCGGCTAAAATGCCATTAGAATAGACATGTAGGACCGGGGGGTGGTTTGGGTAATGGGATTCTGGAAGGGGTGAAAATTGCCCAATGGAATTGCTTTACGCGAACAGCCACATCCTCGGCAACAGAAGCGGAGCTTACTCGACGTCTCAGTAGTTCCATTCTTTTGCACTATCCTTGAACCGTTTCCTTCAAGTGCAAGAAAGTAATGAACTGGAACAGAAAGATCTGCCATAAGTTGCAAAAAGGAATAAGATTGTTTATGACGGTAAAAGCTGTGGATCATATCAAGCTGTGACTGACCCAAAAGTCGATTTAAGTACGATTACTACCGGCTTTTGAAAGAATTGCGAGAACGCGAAGATGTGCCTCTAGCGGGAAAAACTTAGGACGAAGACCAGGACGAAGACCCACAGGATAGATTGCTAGCAGAGAAGCAAGGAAGAACAGGCAAGGAAGATACTAGAAACCTAGTACTAGAAACTTCAAATGCTGTTACTCTACCGTTTCCTGCGCTCTTCGCAACTGAGCAGCGGAACACGGTACGAAAACAAATCTTCGAAAGCCGGTTGTACCTTGGAAATAGCAAACAACAAATGGATGCTAACAAGGGAAGGATATTTGGTCGAAGCAGCTCTTCCATACAAAATGTATATCTTATATATATAGCTGAATGTCTGTTTGTATGTATGTCTGTCTGTACGTATGTTCCGAATAGAAAATTCCATTTCTGAACCGATCGGGACCAAACTTGGCACACATACACTTCGGTCCCCGGCGGGTGTCATAGGCTACTTTTCGTATCGATCGATATCGATTTTATCAATTTTTTGCAGAATTTGAGCTACGGTGCTGGGAGTTGGCACAGGGGGGTAAGTGAGCATGGGGATTCCGAATACAGTATTAGTTTTTTAAATCGTGCATTACTTTTATCGATTTTATCGATTTTTTTGCAAAGTTTGAGCTACGGGGCTGGGATTTGGCACAGGGGGGGGGTAATCGATCTCGATTACACCCCTCTGCCAAATTTCAGCCCCCTAGCTCAAATTTTGCAAAAAAATCGATAAAATCGATAAAAATAATGCACGGTTTCAAAAACTAATATTGTATTCGTAATCAGCATGCTCGATTACCCCCCTGTGCCAAATCCCAGCCCCCTAGCTCAAATTTTGCAAAAAATCGGTAAAATCGGCATCGATCGATAGAGAAAAGTGGACTGTGACACCCGCCGGGGCCCGAAGTGTATGTGTGTCAAGTTTGGCCCGGATCGGTTAAGAAATGGAATTTTCTATTTGGAACATACGGCGGAGCCGGGTAAGCCAGCTAGTCATCTTATAAAACATGAAACGCTGATTTCAAATCTGCTTTCCTTATCTGCAAAGCGCTTCTGGTACGGGAGTTATGTGAAATTTTTTGATGCAAAATTCAAAAGCGCGCTATTACACAATCATTCGGAACTTTGATCTGCGAACTCAACGGGGCCGTGAATATTACCAGAGCCTTCCATGAATATATACCTTCAATCTGGTAAACTCATATCAGTTATTACCAAGGTTGAGCGTGGGGTCAGGCGCGCCCGACCTGGGGGATCGTATTGAGGGTAATTCTGAGGGGGGGGGGGGTCGTGATTAAGAATCGAATTTGTTAAGTTGGGGAGATACTGCGAAGGTGAAGAAGAAATGCGCTAGTTCGATGGATATCGCGATCACATGAAGGAATGACGGTCATAAACAACATAATGATTGTTTCACAATGGAAGTTTCAGCCAAAATTCAAATCTTCATCTCTTTTTCCTTGACATATGAGGTCGACAAGGAAGCTTGCTGAGTGAAATGGGTATCATTTCCATAATCAGCATGTCAGATTACCTCTATGCGCTCTACAAACCATTACCCACTGCAGTCTAGTGTTTCTCAATGTCTAAAAAGCGTGATTTTCAAACGTGATCAACTTGGTTTCAGAAGTGAAAAAAGTCACTTTTTGTATACTCATAACAAAGTAATATTTTCTACAAGTCTTCCTACAAATCGGGCTTCATATCGCTTTCAAACAGTCACGTAAGAAGTGCTGCCAAAATTCCAACCGGCGCGTTCTTCACGTTGAGTGCTTCAACTCCTCGGATTAGCACAAGGCCGAAACAAGTCGAATCAAGCTCAAACACTTACGGTGAAATCCTCGAGGTTTATGCTAGCGAATCGCATAAAACTTGGGTAGAAAAGCTTTTTCGGAAATAAAGTTAATGGGGTCAGGCGCAACCCCTCAAAAGGTCAGGCCGCCTGAGCTTTTGAGGGGTTGCGCCTGACCCTCTTAACTTGCCTTCAAATCAAAAATCGCTCCTTTCTTGATATGAGTATTGAAGGCAAAGCCTCTTCTTGCTATATTGAAAATTCGGAGCCAAACACTCCCCTGTGCAAATTATAGCTCTGAAAAGAGGACTATCCAAATCTAAAACTTGCCGTCAAGTTGCGTGTGGTTGTGCAATCGCAGAAAGTCGGGCCTACAGATCAAAAAAAGAAACCTGCAGTGAAGGCTGGTCTTCTTCAAAATATAACACACTTGGAGGTGAAGCTGAGGGTCGTTTAGGGGCTTTCCCAGGGGGGGGGGGAGTCGTTTTTGAAGGACTTGTGCCTGACCTCTTGCTCAACCCTGGTTATTACTCATTTCGAGTGCCGAAAAGGTCCCAAAACTTGTTTTTACCTTAGTCAAATCACTGAATTTTTATTCAGAAATTTTCCATAAATTCCCTTCCAAAAGCGCTTTGCAGATAAGGAAAGCAAGTTCGAAATCAGCGTTTTATGCTCTGTAAGATAGTATACATTCTATATCGAAACGCCACTTCGAGAAGTATCCTTCACTTGTAAGAACATCTGAGTGGATTCCTTGCGAAGCAAAACGTTAGCGATGAAAAACAATAACAGTATGGGCAGAAAGTGAAACGGATGGACCAGCTGTGAAATCAGCTGGTACGAATTTCACACCTGGGAGTCGCGGATGCAGCCACCGACGACAAGCAAGAAGATCGTGGATAAAGCGACGGATAGGAAACAATAGCAGTTTCTGTGCTGGAGCCTAGAGGCCACGAACGAGCCTTTCATGTATCTGAGCATCTGAGCTCCCATATTTCGGAGTGTGATGGGAAGTAGGTGAAAGACGTGCTTGATTTGCTTTCAACGTTTGATGCTATTAGTGACATGCGCAGACAAAGCCTGTCGGCGACGAACATGCTCTACTTGCGGATGCTATGGAAGGCTTTGTTTCAAGTATTTTCGACTTCGAAGGTTTTGACTTTGAAGTGCGGTTGCTTACATGTCAACAGCTTTCCAAACAAAGGAAAAACTGCCAAATAAGGTTTTTTCACCTCTTTTTGCACATGTACTTTTTTTATAAGAAACATTATAGCTTTTCAATAATTGCACTAACAGGAGACCAATACATGAACAAAGTCAATGCTCACATTTATCACTATTTTTAAGTCATCAAAATCATTCAGTGCAAAGTCCTTAATATTTTTGGCAAATGTCTGTATCCCAGCACAGATTGTATGGTTCGCCTTGCCAATAGAGAGGAGTGTTGGGAGTAATTCTGCAATGGTTTAGATTGTTTGTTTACGGAAAACATTTCTTAGATAATCACCCCCATCTATAACGGCACACAACATGATTACCATCGCTATATTCCCTAAAGGCAGCGTCTCGGCAGAATGAACCTACCTCAGATTTTGACACAGATGGATAGGAGGACCTTTAAGTGAACCAAAACAGCCACTCCGCGCCGAAAATGTGAACTCTGCAAGCCAGGGGGCGGCCCAACCGCCGCTCCCCTTCCTCCTTACGCTCCCCTAACACCTTGTTCAAACGAGTATGTTCTCCGCTAGAAAGCGCGCGTCATTCATAGCTTCGTAGGGCAGAACTGTTCTAGCGCTCTCTACCTCCTTACTCTGCGTCTCTGACGGCAGAGAAAAACGGCTCACTCGTCCGCTCCCGTCTCAAGGGAGGTTTCAAAAGACGGGGTTTTCCCCATTTTCGCGTTAAGGGGAGTTCATGTCGTGATTCAGGGGGCCGGAATAGCCCCAAATCTGCCAAAACCCCGAAGTTGAAAATCTATCGAGCTGCTGCCTTTAAAGGCAGTGTTCGGGCAAAAACTCAATTTCTAGAAAATCCACTTACCTGGTTATCCGCAACGCTGAATCCGAAAATCCACATTAGAGGGCGCGAAAACGGCGAGGATATACGTTTTCCAAAGCCGCACAATTTGAAATTTGACGGTCCCCATGAAGACAGAGACGCAGAGTCGCTGCGGGACCCTACATTTTGACTGTTGCGGCATACGTACTCTGCCGCATAGCAGGAATTCGGACAGCTCGGAGGACCCCGCCCCAAGGCGTAAGTTTACCCACTTTGCGGTCGTTTTCCTTGCTTTAGGTAGAGCGATACGATGTCGCACTTGCGCGATGTTGTGTCTGAGGGTGGCCATCCTCGCATGGCACTGAATTCCTAAAACCCCCATCTTGCCCGGACACCACTGTCTTTAACGGCGCAGCGAAGACATACCATTTCATGCCAAGCCATCTGTTGGTCCAACATAACAGGAATTGGGTAAGTCACTGTATAATACTCGCTTACCCTCACGAACGAACATGATAGTCAAGTTTGTATGTTTATCCATAACATGTAATTCCCCTCTCACTCGATTGGATTTTTTCTCAATGTTTTCCGCCAATACCGAATGGCCTATTAGTTGTAATAGAAGAACAATATCAAAAAAATGAAGTGAAAAGTCAACCCTGTCCAAAGCTGCTCTAGCACCTTTTGCCTCGGCTTTCTTGTGATCGCGAAATTTTCCTCCCCTGGATCGTGAAATCTTTTGCAGAAGTTCCCTTTGCCTGACATTCACTGCAACCTTATAGGCAATACCCTCCAACTCGCAATCGTATTCCTAGATTTTCTCCATTATCTTACCAATGAGAACTTTTATTATAGATTTGGTACCTTATAGATTTGGTACCTTATAGATTTTGTACCTTCCAATTGCATTCGATCCTGCCTGCGGCATATATACTCCATCATTCTTCTGAACCTTACCAAGAGCAAGGTCTGACCTGAAATTTGCATTATACAGGGTTGGGGGAAAGTCTTTGAACACGCTATTTTAATCGTAATCACGAAACTAGGCAACATATTTACATGAAATGAATATATAATGTTTATCAAACAGTCTACTCTATGAAAGCTACTTTACTTTTCAAAGATCCCTCCTTTGGCGCGAACACAGGCTCTAAGACGCTTGAGAGAGCTGTCCACGGTGGCACGGAGGCACTCCAAGTCGATTTCCTCCCACGCATTCTGAAGAGTATGTCGCAGTGACTCCACAGTTTTGCGTGAGTGAGCACAGGCTTTGGCCTAACGAACTGAGCACATGCGGTAGTCAAGGGTATTTAGATCCGCCCAATACGGAGGCCATTCCACATAAGTAATGAAGTCCTTAGCATTGCTTTGGAGCCATGCTTGAACAACCTTCACTTAGTCGCAGGTGCGCTATCCTGCTATGAGCACCAATCGCTCCCTGGCAAATGGGTATTGATCCAGGCCAACAATGCTTTCTTCAGGACGCTATTCACATGCGTAGCAATGTCCACCTTGATGCGCTGAGACCCTGAAAATCAGCGGCATCTTGCTGTCGGACGATCGCCGCCGCAAATTGTCACAAGAACCGGATGAAGCTTTCCTTCTGCGAGTCAACCCTTGCTATTGGCTTCTTGGGGCGTTTAAGTAATGACTCTGTTGCTTTAGCGATCAAAAACCTGCTTCATGATGAAAATTTTGACGCCAGAAAGGAGTATCGTGCGTTGGCGTGCCTTGAAGAGACGTTCAAGCATTCGATGGCATCCGCGCAGTCATTTCAGCTTCGTGTCTCCCCAAAAAGCATGAATTTTAAACATCCTGAAAAGCTTCATCCTAAGGCCCTGTTTCATGATGCCGGAGACTGTTCTGCCAGAGATGGACAGCTCTGAAGCTCGCTCAATCGAGCTTCGTCGAGGATTGTGACGATGGCGCTGGCGAACGATCCTCAGATTTTTGTGAGTGTCCGCAGTAGCCAATTTATCACTCTTACAACAGTTCTGGGTGCTGTTCATATCCTGGAAACGACGCAAGGTGGAAAAGACGCTGATTCGTAAAATTTGGGTAACCCGCGCAATCTGCTGGTTAGCCATCCTCTCCTCGTGCATCTTCGCCAACAAGGCTCACTCCGTTCCAAAAGGCATATCTCCAACAGGAATGAAGCTAATAGTTCAGTTTTTGGAGGGCTTGTAACTAAAGGTATACGAAGCAAATACATGTAATTAGCATTCAAGAATATTTGGAAAATCCGAACATACAATGACATCAAAAATTGTTCAAAGACTTTCCCCCAACCCTGTAGTTGTGCGCGAAGACAGAGTTTGAGGGAAGTTGGGAGCTCTAAAAATGCAATGCTAGGCCAGATCAGCACCCGTGCGACGGCTAAACTGTGGCGACATAATGTAAGACAAAGAGCTAGAAATGGATGTCACGTCTCGCAAACAGAGTTGCGATGGGGGGAGCCGGGCCCACCAAAAGTGAAGGTGGTCCCAGCTACCACTGGGCGGCCAAAAGTGAAGGTGGTAGTGCCGGACACTCACCTCCCAAAAACGTCGACCGGGGGGGGGGGGGAGAGCATTAACGTCTATCCTTCCAGGTCGTTGCCGCCAGTGCGAAAAAGTGCAAAAAAACAAATGCAAAAGGGATCATTTAAAGCATATTTTTATGTATACAGCGTCATTAATATCTAAAATAAACGTGCTTATCACATAATGTATTTGGAAGTTAAGCTCAGCGGAACTGTGCGTATTTTATTAATTAAATTTCGTTATAATGTACAGCGAAGAAAGTAGATCGATCCAGGCAGTAACGGCCAGAACCAGAATTTTGAATAATCAAATAGTGAAAAATCATGCAAAATTTCTTTCATACCAAAGTCTCCCCTTAGCCCACTTTAATGTATTGGAGGGGGGAGACTTTGTGATGAAAAGGCTCCCCCAGGGCATAATTCGTAGGAGGCCCTAAACCGCACATATTATAATATATATCATTTGAAAGCTCTTGATGAGTAGAATCTAACCTATGAAGTCGCTACATGATTCATGCAGTTCTGAAGAAGTTACGAGCTGTTGAGTTTCAAAAAGCGCTTTTTTACCTGCTTTTTCAAGACTCTGGATCTCGGAGGTGTTTCAATGGATCGAAACGGCTAAGATCTATCCTGATAAATCTTAGGCTATAAAACCTTTAAAGTCGCAACATCACACACTTTCACATTCAAGATTTATATGAGTTTAAAGGCAGCGTCCAGGCAAGATCCATCCACCCAGATTAGCACATAGTTGTAAAGAGGGGCCCATGAGTATCCGATCTGCCTTGGTCCGATACTTTGACGTGGCCTCTAAAAGGAGATACGGGTCTCTGATACGTATTACAAACCGCCGCTTCGTATCACAAACCACCCCTGAGGTCGAGTGCTCACGCAGGTGTGCAGTTGCATTGCAGTTGCACTGCACATTGCAATGCAACTGCACCCGTGCAGTGCAGCTCCTCAAACTGGCATGCGATGGTGACAAGCAATCCGAAACTCGTCCGCTTCTTGAAGAGAGGGTCCCTAAGAATCGGGTTTTTTGGGGGTTTTGAACGCTTTGGACTTCACAACTATAATCAGGGCCACGGAAAGGCCCCAGAATGGCAGAAACATGAGAGGCGAAATTTTGTCCGGACGCTGCCTTTAACTGTCAACTGTCAAAAAACACGCAAAAATGGCGTAAATTTTTAGAATTCTGGTTTTCAACGACTATCTCTCAAATCCACTCGATTCTTTCACTAGCTAGAGCACCATTTACTCTGCAAAACCTATGAAGTCGCAACTGCTGACATCTTCAAACAACAGATTTATAACAGTGGAAATTTCGCATGATTTTTCACTATATTATTCAAAATTCTGGTTCTCGGCCGTTGCTGCCTGGATCGATCTATTTTCTTCGCTGTACGTTATAACAAAATTTGCTTAATAAAATCCGTACAGTTTCGCTAAGTTTTACTTCCAAATACACCATTTACTGAACACGTTTATTTCAAATAATATGCCGCCGTATACATAAATATATGCTTTCAATAATCTTTTTTGCGTTTGTTTTGCTTATTTTCCTTTTTTATAGTCCAGCGAAAAATCTTTTATTCCAAAAGTGAAGGTGGTCACCCTGTACCAGCTCAAAAGTGAAGGTAGGTGGAGAATCGGCTCCCACTATCGCACCTCTGCTCGCAAATAATACCGTCTATCCATATACGGTTTCTACTTTTCAAGTTAAACCTACTGGGATTATACGGTTATATAGCATCTTTAACCTTGGCCTCGCTGGGTCGTGTCCTCTGCTAGTTCGTATAACTGGCACTGAAACAAGCTCTTTCTTGTTTTCAAATTACACGATGTACAGGTTGGCCGGTAAGTGCGAGCGTTGAACATATAATATATCTTTTTCCGGAATACTCTATCATGACGGCTAATACACCTGTACCTTACACACATCCTTTTTATCATAATATAAGAGGATCGCGTGAAATGGAATCTTTCAATGCCAACGGGACTCCGAAATTTACGTCCACTTGTGAAGCGCTGCGGAGCGGTCAGTCAGGATCTTCTTAATGGTGCCGTATTTTGTTTTGTAGGAGAAAAATTACTGCTCTTACGGCACTATGTTAGTCTTTAGATTATGCAATAGAAACCTATGTCTCAAAAGCTATTCTTATACATCCACCAAGATTTTAAGGATCAAAGTGGATTATTACCAGATCGGGATAAGCATAGTTTAGCTGCACATATCAGCCGCTTATCTGTTCATCCTTAAGCAATGGGTTGCAATTATGTCATTGCATTGATTGCAATTATATTTTTATAATTAATTATTAATTAGTTATTGTTTTGATCATTGGTTAATTCATTTATTGATTCCCATCGCAAGGAATGTCTCTGTGCGTAAGTTACCTTGCTTTCGCACGTGTTACACTGAAGTTCGGCGACAAACGAAAATTACTGACATTTACCAGAGATGCAACAATGTTGATGGCCACCACTGTTAAGGCGATGCGTGCCACGCAGTCCTTTTATATGGAAAAGATCAGACTCAAAAATCTGTTTATCATTTTCTATGCTATTCACATATTCTTCAAAGTGTACTTCCTTTTATTGAATTCAATTTACACAACTGCTCTTTCTTTGAGGAAAATCACCAGCTATTGCAGAAACTTTGATAAGAATAGCAACAGAACTCTTTTTGCACTCTATGAAAATCTAGGGTTCTTGGTAATTATGTGCTATATTTACACATCATTATGGTTCTGTGTGGTTTACGGGCAAGCGAGGCACAGGGACCCCTCAATCAGGCTTACAATGCAAGTGCAACAGCGCAATTTTATCAATTTGTCCGTCTTTTTACTGATTGTTTTATAGCCTTTTCTCGATCTCTGTTGCGGGACATTCTAAGGTAAGGTGTCTTCCTTAAAAAAGTGGTGTTCAGAGACGTGACATCGCGACTGAGTAAAATGCGGCGAGTAATTATAATTTACCCCTTGACTCAACTGGGTGGCGGCTGGAAAGCGGGACTTTGTGACCTGATTAAGACAAGACGATGATCAGAGAGCAGGCGCCCGAGAGAGACGCAAGCTGCGTCGAGCGGTCTTAATTTGTTCACAAAGCCCCGCCTTCCAGCCGCCAAGCCAGTTGAATTGAAGCACGGACAAGGTGAATGAAATTTTTGAATGTTCAGAAGCCTTAGCGACATTTTAGCATATTCGAGATCAAAATGAACACTAAGGATGTCGTTTCATAAAGCCTGAGCCAAAGAAACTTGGCGGTTAGAACACAAGCGGTTCTTCAATCGAAAAAAATGAAGCCATGGATTTGACAAGCGAGCATCGCTATCCAAACAGTTAAAACTGCGGAAAAAAAACAAATTTACATTATTTGCACAGAATGCCTTGAGAATTGCCTGGAAGTGAAAAAAAGATACAACTCTTGCGCAGAAGAACAGAAAAACAGAGTTCTTGTACAAAATCCTCTTGCGCAGAAGAACTCTTGAGGTTAAATTAAGACCGCCCATTTTCCCATGTTTTAGATAGCAGATAGTTTAACAGTCAGAAGACCGTCCCGTCAAGTGCTAATCAATTTAAGGATTGTCACTGAGTTGAAGACAAGTCGTACACTCAAGATAGGTCGTCACTTAAAGGCAGTGTCCCACCAGACTGGGGGTGTCTGGCTCTCGTTAATGTAGTAAGAGACCCCCTACCTAAACGATGACTGAAGTTCGAAGCGAAAAGGGGATCTACCAAGCTGAAATTTGCTCCGAAAGTGGCCCGAATTTTACGGTAGGTTCGGGCAAGGTAGAGCCGCAGAGTCGTTGCGGGAATCTGAATGTTTGAAACTGCACAATAGCGGGACCCGAAGAGGAGAGGATGAACAGCTAATTTTGGCGATGCAAAAAAGGGTTTTGATATGACCGTTATCAAAGATCGCCCTGCGATGCGGCAAAAAGTCGCTACGCCATTTGAGCTTTTACCGCACGAGCTAAATTCCAATCCACCCTACCTGCTCGATCAGGTCTGCTCAAGCAATGCATCTGTCTCCTTTATGAAAAAGCACAAGTTTTTTGTGTCTGGAAAGCGATCCGCATTCAGACCAATAGCTCACTGGAAACGAGCTGAAGCGTTCTGCGTTTGGCTTAGGCCCGCCCAGTCAAGTTGCGCGAAGAGGAGTTTACTACGGACCTTTATATTGCAATCTTCCCATTCCAAGCGTATTGATAAAAATGAAAAAAACTGTGCCGATAAGTGTTATTATGATCCATCTGTTCTCGCACTTGTTTTTCTTGAATATTAGGTGCAAAAGTGCTTCACGAGCTGAATCTAGCATTTCATTTTCTAACAGCAATTAGGAATGCGAAACTGTTGGCTAACTTTGAACTGCTTATTGATTCACCAGAAACGACTTCAACGCTTTCTCAGGGGCTTCTTTTCTCAAAAAATTCGTAATATCTCTTCAGCAACACGCGCCAAAATAAAAAGTGCGAAAGCAGCAAAGGTAATAATGGCATAAGCATTTTGAAGTCAACTACAATGCGTACAATGCAGATTGGCACTTGGAAAGCAGTAAAGATCCCGTTTTGCTTTCAAAGTTTATGAAGTTCACATCCTTGCTCGAAAGATCATTCAAATCTTCTTGCCGTACTACCATTCCTGCGAGCCAAGCAAGCTTGCGAGATCCTGCTCAAAGAGATTTTTGCGAAAGGATTTAGGATAGGGTTGTTTCTCTAGGTCAAATCAGTTTTGTGCAAGCTAGAAACTTGTGTTTACGTATAACAATGTGATAAGCGGAATGGAGGAAGATGTGTCACATTGACATTTGAAAACGGAAATGTAAATACAGTTATTGAGCGTTCAAAAAATAGTGAGTTTGCTTATGCAAACAGACGAAAATGAGCACAATCACTGCCGCGTTATTAGACAAAAAAGATTGTGAAATATGAATTTATCAACTTCCACGTTTATGAGGAATGGAAATATTCACTCCATCTAGGTTGCCTCAAGCTTACGTTTTTGAAAACTTAGAGTCGGACTTGACACATCTTGACCACAAAGCACTAAAATGGCAGAAACCATGCAAGAACTATGCGCTCATCAGTGCTGTTGGATGGTTCCCGTCGGGAGAGGAGGGAGGGGGGAGGTGTCGCGATAAAAAATTCTTGAATGAAGGCGTGTGCGGTTAACCAAGTACACCGAAAAAAAAGAGCTTTTTTAAAGATGCTTTCCGAGATTTTTGCGGCCCCACAGCAGATTAATAGGTTTGCATTTTGAAGTCTTTGAACTTTGGCACTGCTTCTCACTGAAGTTGCTCCAAAAGATTGTAGAAGACAGCACGAAAGATAATGCATAGTCGTGCACGCACTTCGCCTACTTCTGTTTTGCTTTTTCCAAATCCGACAAGATTTGGCCTTCTCTTAGTCGGTACTTTTGACTTTTCGTTGGCGTCAATGGGTGCCGCAATCGCCATCGACGGAGCTAATAACTTTGAATGAAAGAGTCACAATGCTTTCATGAAGGGTAATTTGCATTGCTACTGACGCTCAGTTATCGATATGCGCGAAATTTGAAGGTGATTACACCGGTAAAATATCATATCTAAATTACGTTAGTTATCAAAGATGACCTCGTATATGACAGATTACCAAGAATTATAGAACTTTTGCAAAAAGTGCTCCTAGCACATAGGTTTGGAAACACGTTTTAGATATTTGTATCATGGTGTACTCTTTGATTCAATTGGCTAGGCGGCTGGAAGGCGGGGCTTCGTGACCTAATCAAGGCTAGGTAATGATCAGAGAAGATACGCAGACTGCGTCGCAGGTCACATAGGTCACATAGCCTAGCCCCTTAGGTCACATAGCCTAGCCCGGCCTTCCGGCCGCCAAGCCAGTTGAATCAAAGGTTAGGCGTGTGGTGTTTTGAATGGCCACTGTTACCAAGTATTCTTCCATTAGAGTTGCGCAATACAAGTTCCTCAAACGAGAAGTGAATGGGATAGTAGTGCAAATGGGCTGTCTTCTTCTGTAGTGATTTGAGTGCAGAGCTTAATCCGCCACGCAAATCGATAAGCGTAATTTTACACCTTGCCATGCTAGAATGGCGCTTGTAACATGGCAGTGCCTGCCATGGAGGATCGGTAGCTTCCGAAAGGAGAAGTTAAAGTAAGCGCAAACGGTGTGCTTTTTTCGACTTAACAAAGGCGAGTCTGGTCGGAACGTATCAATAGTAATAATAACTATTAACAATCTTAAAAGCACAGCTACCCAATTAAGAAAATAGTTCGCCTCGGTCTGGCATCACATGAAAAGTACAAAATCGCTCGGAATTTCTTATTCGGTTACTCAGAGACCACTTTCAAGTTTAATTGTAACTGCGTCCAACTGTTGGGATAAATTATCAAGGCGAAGGCGAACCAATGGAATTAAATTGATGAACTGTAGCCACACCTCTCCGCGCTCATACTGAATCTTAGGAGCACGAAAAAGTAACAACAGCAGATCAATCGCGGACTTCGTATATCATAGCTACAGTCACCTAGGTCTAATCTCAGCACGTTGAGCACGATGATTGTTAAGCTTCGAACTGTTTGTCTGTTTTCGGTCAATGATCATTAATCTCGCAAAATGGCACTGTGGTAGAGAACTTCCTTGGTAGAGATATACTTAAATCAATGTGAAACTGAAGATTAGGTCATAAGATGCTTGACACTTATGACACCCATCGTTATCTGAGACAGAGGATCTAAGGGAAAAAAATAGTACAGATGAACGAGGAAGTTTGGAGATAGGAAGCTGTCAAAATAGGCGAAAAGAACTTTTTTATGGTTTAATGTTTGGCTGCATTTATTATGACCTTCAAGCCGTACAAAGCAATAAAAGAAGCACAGGTGTTCAATCTAAGCCAACAAAAATCAGTGCGATTGAAAAAAAAAGTATAGCACAGAACAGTGAGTTTCGAAATCTGGATCAATCTGAATCCATTGTTGTTCTATATAAAAGGATAACGAAGCGAGCAGTAAAGCATTGTCACGAAGTTAGACAATGAGGAACGCCGGCTGTGTTGCTCTTCTGGTAAGTAAGCGGTAGTTAGCTTCCATTCCTCTTGAAGCCCCAGTATGCTATATTTGCTGCATATATCCCTGTTGGGACTTGAGACGATGGGAATGCCACATTGGCCTAAGGCATACTTTCCGCGACTCCGCCAAATCACATTTGCCAGGTATCTATAGATTACCCTATTTTCAGATGTATAAACCGCGGGGGATTCTTTTCTAAAATCGACTAGCCCAAACAGGCCAGAAGACTTCGCGACCAAGGCACCCTATACCGTGCTACGTATTGTTTTAGAGAGTCGTGTGGCATAAAACCGCTTTTCGAAACATAGTGGGGCGGCTGAGCAGCTTGCTTGATTATTGGAAAAAAGCGGCTCATACACCTGAAAATAGGGTAAGCATGCGTGGATATTAGATGCATGGGCTCTAGTTTGTCCAATTCGTAGTAAATACACCAAGTCCGGCCTAAGCGAAGGGAGCTCATGACCACTTATGGAGAGTCGTTGCAGTGGCAGATCGCGCAACGATTAAAATCGCGATGTATGCCTTAGGCCTATATGAGAGCAAGATGATTCGAGGCAGCTAATTGGGTAGTATTATAACGTCTTCCTAGGGAATATGCAGAGGCAAGAAAAATAACGATTTCAACTTTGAGTGCAGCAAAAATTACTTGCGGCCTTAGGTACTGTATAAACCGAGGAGGAAACAGAGGGCAGTGTTCAATCAATTCCTAAGCTTTGTGGGCGATTGAATGTAACTAAAACCTATGCTCAAGCAACTGCTCAATTATACGTGGTTGTATGTTCAATTTCAAACTTTCGCCCAAACTCTATCCTATCAATCATCAGCGCCTAAGTGTGTCAAGACTGACTTATTTGTTTGGAATGATTACTGTTTCTAGACAAAGAAATAAAATAAAAGAAATAAAAGTATTACTTATGAATGAATCATACGAGCTGCTTCTGAGCTATTATTATTGAAATCTCATTTATTGCAGCCGAAATAAAGCACAATTCGAGTGATTTGAAATCTGTCTGAAAGCATTATCTGTCGTTTTGATGGCAATTTGAAAATTGATCAGTTGTCGTCTCTAAAAGACATTTTTAGGTGCTCACAATAATAGCAAGTGCAGCACAAATTTCTCGTAAGTTTTTGCTCATCCGCTTAGACTGCTCAGCTAATCTATTTGTTAATTTAGAGGCAGAAATTTGTGCACACAAAGATGGAATGACTGACGATATTCGCGACGCTGTGCTCACACTACACAACAGCTATAGGTAAGTGGTTAAAGTGTCATCATATGGAAGCAAATGCATTTTGCACACTTTAGGTCAGATCTTGCACAAGGAAAAGTGAAAAAGCATGATGGTTCACTTCTGCCGCAAGCTGGAGCAATGATGGAAATGGTTATCAAAACTTTAAAGAAAGGATGAAAGTAAATGGAAATTTATTGCAGCAATACTTGTGCGAAGTTGAGGATATCGCCTACGGTGAAGCAAGTAAATGTCCAACAAGTGAGATTCCCCGCGAGGTTGTTGGGCCTTTGGAGGAAGAAAACTTTGCTATGGTACCGAAGACAGACGCCAGTGACGCCAAAAATGCTACAGAAAAGGTTAGCCTTTCTGGTTCATCTCTCGTCTTTCCCGTTAGTGCAGTCAGACCTCCCAGCAAAATTTTTTTGATGCATCCTCACTTCAGGCTATACGTAAATGGTGGAGTGCAATACAAACGGATCCAACTCCTTATGACAGACAGTTCCACGTCATGGATAAGCACACAAAGTCCCAGCTCATGTCTTTCATAAGGGTATGGAAAGTTCTATTGATGCCAATAGAACTAATGAAATAATCTAATATGTGCTTACCAGATGGCCTGGCATGAAACATGGGGTATAGGTTGCGGTGTGAAGGAATGCGGCGATCACTACACTATTATATGCCGTTACAGATGGGGGTAAAATTTTTTCTTCTCCTACGTACATACATGCAATGCAAATCTTTGCAGTATCACCCTCAATACTCCTCTCTACTGGCAAGGGACACCATGCAGTGAATGCTGGGATACAGACACATGCGAACCCAGTATAGGACTTTGCATTGAATAGACTTGCATTTGCATAATTTATGCGAATAAATTTTTTTTGAAATGTGCTTTCTTTTCTTTGGACTACGGAGAATGTGATAATTTGCGTGTATCATATGAGGTACAGTAAGACTGTTTTTATCGGAGCTTCAATCGCAAAAATTTAGGAGGGTCTTGATAAAATAGACAAATCAAGCCATTGTTCCTGTCTTCCTTCTGTGAGCTAAACAGAGGAAATTTGATTGAACAAAAGGAGTGCATTTAACAGTTTTCTCGAATTCAAGAACATTGAAATAATAAACTTCCCCACAATGCTGTGCTTAACCAAATTGATTCAAAAGCGAATGGCTGACATTGGTGTGTCTCCGCTTGGCTTAATCTTGGCATCTTAGCTTTCTTACACCCTTGATAGCCAAAAATTTCCGACGTTGGGTATTTAGGTTGTAAAGGTACTTGAGTGAACAAATTTGTCAAATCTTTAGTTCTTTAACTTCTTTTATAATTACTTTTGTTGGCAAATTTTCTGTACTCTGTGCCCATCCAGTGCGGCCAGACTTTCTGAGCGCTCATCGATTCCGTTTTTGTTCTCGTTTTTTTCACATTACCTTAGATCTTCAAATTCCGAATCTGCTTAGCAGGGAACAATACTTGGTTACCTCGGCCATTCATAATGATGTGTATATCAAAAAATGCGCCTTTTAATGCTGGTTTTGGTTTACTGTTTTTCATATCTGCGAAACGAGAATCTGGATGGAGTTATGATTATTTTTTCAAAAATGTATTGCGCTACGGCGAAGGGTGAAAATCATTAACAAAAATTTTTCTTTCATCTTCAAATGCTGAATATTGTTTAGATAGGTATAAGTACAACGTTACACCTTTCAAGATTCTCCTCAATTACTTCAAACGGTAAAATAGATCAACTTGGTGGTTTTAATTACCTAAACGTAGGCAAAATTTATACGAAAAAAGCTCACAACTGCCTTCAAATGATCGTTTCGCAGATTTCGAGCACAGATTTAGAATCAGCGTTTCGAGGTGCACCTTATGGTATACATCGCATTCCACATGGCCGGGGTCACCAAGTATCGTATCCTTGTTAGAAGATTTTCCTTTTGATCTTTTCCTATACTACTACTATAAATTTATCAGAAATTCTGCAAAAAGCTCCCTGAGGGCCGTGCCCAATTTATTGTCATGAGGACACCACGGGCCCATCATTCATCCGATACCCAGTACTGATCCGCACACTGATTAAGCAGAAACATTATCTCTTTAGCAACCTTCATGAACCACTAACAAATGAACTCAACAAGAAGGTTTGTAGCGATCTG